AAAAAAAATAAATGTATAAAATAAGATTCAATTAATTACTTCTTTAATTTAATCTTAAACATCTTAAGTTAAAATTAAGGATGCTTGATTTGGCTAAACAGATGTTATTAATTAAACTTTTTTGAGATAGCTTTCCAAAGAAGTTACTATTTATTACAATACTCCAGGTGATTTTGTTTCAGTTACTAAGGCTTAATGATTATTATTACATATAATTAAATTGATTTTTTTAAGTATTTCTTATGGTAAGGATCTCAATTTACTGATTGCAACATCTGGAACACTTGCTTCTCCATCAGTATAAAATTAAATGGAAAATCTAAATATAATTTTAAATTAAACCCATCATATTCAAAATTCTTAATGATTTGATCATAACACATGGAAAATGCATAGTCATAATCTGTACCTCCACCTTAATATTCAATATATTGTTATTGAGTTGAAGTATTAATAAATTATTAATCCAAAACCAATCTGGCAGTCGTATTAAATACAATTACTGAAGATTTTGCTTTTGATTATTAATCTTTTATTAAATTCATTACTCCTATTGCTCCCTATTTTATGTTTTGCCATTTTTATCCTTACATGCTTCCTGAATCATCAAGTATAAATATATAATGGTTAGAATCTTAATAAAAATTATTATTTTCTGCTTTTATTATATTGATTTTTTTGTTCATTCTCTTTGAAATAGTTTATGAAACTATATTTCCAACTCCTTCATTCCATGCCTTTAATTGTAAATTTTTTAATTATAAAGATTCTTACTTTTAGGAATTAAATGACCAATTTTAATGCTCTTATTAAATTTATTCCCATTAAAATACTTATCCAACTCTTTAAACTTTAAAATCATTCTTTATTTCATTACATGTTTATATAGATGGACTATTACCTACAAGTACTTATTAAAATCCTATAATTATATTAATAATATAAATACCTCTTAAGAAATGTCCTTAACTACATTCATGTTTATGATTTAATTCTCTAATATCACGATCACATTTTCTATTACAAAAAGGACATTTTACTAAACATCCAGTCATTTGATATCTTATTTTATTAAATTCACCATCTAAATTAAGCAAATTTAATTCAATCTTAAAATCTTATATCATCTAAAGTTATTTTGTAATCAATGATTAAAGTTCTTTAAGAAAAGGAGGTAATATTTCTATTTCATCAAATAGAACATTTACATTTTCATTTTCTACTTTTTAATTCATTTCTTATTAATCATTATTTTATATTTCTAAATCTTGAAATATACCTTAAAACTCTTTTTTTAAATAATTTATGTATTGTGATCTTTTATTCAAAAAATAATTAATCAAAATATCGAATAAGAATTTTGGTTATTCTTATTTCTATTAAGTGGATAAACTTTCTTAATTAAAGCAATTATAAGCATAAAAGCAATTATTAAATAGAGTTTATATTTTCTTAATTTTATTCAATAAGCTTTCTAAGAATAGTTTTATTTCACATCTATAATAATCTTAAAATTCATTTAATAAATCATCTTTAATTTTTTATATATACTAATTAATAAAGTTTTCAATCTATGGAACTTGATTTTTTATGTAATCTAAAATTTTTTAATTTTCTTTTGATTATAAAATACTTTCATCAACAGTTTTTAAAATTTCTTAACTAGTGGGAATATGAAATTAATTTTTAAATTATTTCTAACATTTTTCATCTAATTTTTGATAAGAATTACTCATAATATTAATAATTATTGGATGTATTAATGATTCTGCTAATATCTTACTTTAGTCTTTAGAATTTGCTTATTACTTATATAAAATATATTTATCAGATTATTTTAAATTATTTTCTAATTCTATTTCTTAAATTTAAAGTTTTTCATCAAATTTTTAACAAAGACATTACCATAACATAAAAAGGGCAGCTTATTCAAGAAAATCAGCACCTTCTTCTGATAAAGAAAATCCAATCATAATTAAAATTTCTTCAAAATATTGAATTAAAACTTAGCAATGATTAATAATTAACTTAATCAAATCAATATCCATTTAAGTCAATTCTTCAAATTATTATGTTTTCAATTGAGTAAATTTCAAATTAAAAATCTCTATAAATTTTTAATCTCCCTACTTAACATTATAAACTTCCATAATATGATTTTTAATTACCTCATAAATTTTCCTTATTAAATTTTCAAAAGCTTATTTGTTTTTAAAAAATTCTTCAAGTTCTTTTTTAATTTTTTCAAGAGTATCCACATTTAAGTCAGTTTTGCCTTCCATAATGAATTAACCTAATTATATAAATTCTTATTCTGGTATAATTTATTCATGACCATATAACATAAAATCATTAGGATTAAGCTCAAACTAACATTTTTCATCTATGCATTTCCTATTCTTCTATTCTTTTTAAATTTTCATTCTTGGATAATAAATTAAACATAATTCATAAAATGCTAAATCACTTTTTTAATGAGATGCATTTTAATAACATAATGAATTACAAAGTTTTTAATAGCTTTACTGTATCTATTAATTTTATTCTAATTATTGATATCCATAATTTTGTATATCACTGCAGAATTTTTAAAATAATTGATTATTATAAGAAATGTCAAAAAACTTAAATATGTTGAAAAAATTTTAAATCCACCAGTTTACATTATTACCCTTTGAATTCAAAAATTATTATAAATCTTTTAAAAAATGATCTTTTATGTAATTTTAAAAGTCTTCTGATGTTACATAAAAAACACTCTATTCCACTTTAAATAACGAATCTATTTAAAATATTTCAGAAGACTGTAACTTAATTAATCTATCTTTAAGTTACATTTAAAATTAAACCTAATATCTTCTACTATTATCAATAATTTTAATTAAATTTGGAATCTTTAATCTTGAATTTTCATCCATTAAATTATGTAATTATTATGACTAAAGTGGTTTTATTGATATTTAATTTTGAAAGTATTTATTTTTAATTTACTATTTCTTATTTATATTAAAGTTACTAAAAATTTATTCATATTGATAGGTAGAATATTTTAATCGATGCTAATTATTATTTTCTTTAATTTTAATATACTTATTATATGATGGCTTACTCTTTTCAAAATATTCTAATTTTAATTTTTCTTCTTTATCAACCTTTGTCAATTAATTAAGACCTGCTTTTATTGTAGTGATTAAAATTTTATTAATTGAGAACTCTTTATTTTGAGTTTCTTTCTTATTTGATTATAATAATGCAACATAAAAATGAAGTTTTTTTATGTCAATATTATTTTTATAAAGGTGAACACACAATGGCATTTCTGGATCGTTAATCATATCTGCAAATAATTAATTTAAAGATGTTGATGGAGAAAATTGTTCAGGTTTGATGAATTAAGAGTAAGGAGATTTAAATAAATTTGATTAAGTAAAATCATTTGAAAATGCTTATGCCAAAATTTGTTATTGCTTATGAGTTATATTTATTGATTAATCTATTACAACATTTTAACAAGCTTATTTATATTAATTAAATAAAAATGTAGTTTTAGAATATAAACCTTAACACTACTTTGTTGATGAATAATATTTTTAAAGTTAAATCTATTAGATCTCTTAAAGTGTTTTATTTTCAAATGCACCTTAATCTATATAATAATGTGAAAAATGCAAAATTAAATGCTTAAGATTGTTGTTTAAAAGCTAAATTTAATAAGTGTTTAAATTTGAATAAGTTGATATGAGTGATTAACAAGATTTTTCATATGCTTTTTATGGAACAAATTCTTAATTATTAACTCTAATAAAGTAATGAAGATCAGTGCGATCTGTATTATCGTACAATATTTTAAAAGTTTAAACTATTGGTTCATCATTTGGAATCTTTAAAAGATTATCAAAAATTTAAAAATAATTTTTATCTGACGAAACAGACGATGAATTACTCTTTAAGTATTATTTTACAAAATTTGACAATTAGGATACAATCATTTTTTTGGGACAAAATTTTCTGACATAATCCCAATCATCATTTTTGAAATCTGATATTTCATCTGGATGCTTACAATTTTAAAATTATTTCAACTTTATTTGTTGAAATAAAAATAAAAGTAAATATTTTGAAGGATACTTTAAAAAATTTTCTCTCAAGTTATTAACTTAAAAATATTTAAAAAATAGTAATTAGACTAATTTTGTAATACTTTATTAACTTGATTAATGATTTTATAGTATTATTTCACTTCGTATTTAACTTTTATTCTATTATATTTAATTTTCCATATTCTAATTACTTGTTACCTCTTAATAATCGATAATATTATGAATCTTTAATAATTAAATAGTTGTATATAGAGATGCATAACTTTATTGTAATAAATTAAATTTTCTTTGTAAGTAAGGCATAATTTAGGAAATAAAGATCTAGCTAATCATTTATTTGTGAATTGATATT